CAGACAAAAGAGACCGAACGCTGAGACTATTTCAAGGGCTTGCTATTTTTAAAAGCTGCTTTTCCTGTTTCCCTTCCCGACCCTCGCAGGGACTTGCTGCCCGCCAGCAAGTTTGTACCAAAACAACATGAAAAATTACCATCCAAAACCCGACTTTGGAACAAAGTTAAGCCAGGTTTAACCCCCCGCCCCACGCCACCCTCCCGCATACACGCGCGCGGGGGGCCTGCGGCCCTGCCTGCTGCCGCCGCGTCCGAGGCCAGCGGGAACGGCTGCGCTCCCGGCACCACGTGACAGCCGGGATTAGCTTCCGAGGCACAGAGGAAACCTTTGACAAACCTGTCCCCGTGCCGCTGCTCCCAAGCCTCGAGCCGGTGGCCTCCCTCGGGCTGCCAGCGCCCAGGGAGCCCTGGAGAAAAACAAATCTCCACCGTGGGTATCTGCAAAACAGAAAATAATAAGGACAGGTTCACCTGGCCAGCAGGGAGCCAAGCGGATCGCTGCCTCTCTTGTCCTCCCGGGCCTCTTGGAGCTATTTTAAAACTGATTCCCTGCTAAAATGCCCCAGCCTTTGTGCAGAGGAGACGTCACCGGTGAGAACAACTGTTTTTAATGAGCCGAATGAGCGCTGGGTGTTATACAATCTCACTCCCCAGCAGAGACCTCGCAGTCTTCAGAGGACCCTGGCGGGGGGAGGACGGGGGCAAATTCCCCAAGCAACAAACTCGTAGCACCTGGTGCAGCTTTTCTCCATTTCAGTGCCTCCCTTCGCTCTCCAAATCCTCCCCAGCCCCCTGTCACTGGCAACTGGTGGAGAAGAGGAAAGAGAAGCCTGCGGTAGCCCCACTCTCGGTTATTTACGGCCAGCGTTCATCTGTTCCCCTTCCCCTCTCTCCAGGGGCAGCTCCTCCCGCCGCCGCGCTCCCACGAAACAGCCACATTAATGGTTGATGCGGCTCGCAGCTGGTGCCAGGGAGGGATGGGATCGGCGGCATCTGCCCTGGCGCGGGTGAAGCGGCAGCGCAGCGGCCTTGCCTTGCCTTCCCCTCCCTTGCCTTGCCTTCCCCTCCCTTGCCTTGCCTTCCCCTCCCTTGCCTTGCCTTCCCCTCCCTTGCCTTGCCTTCCCCTCCCTTGCCTTGCCTTCCCTTCCCCTCCCCTCCCTTGCCTTGCCTTCCCCTCCCTGCAGCCCTGCAACTCGTCAAAGAAAGCGCAGCTGGGAGCAGAGCCCAGAGCACTGCAGAGATGATGCCCGGATTTTGTGGTAGGGAGATTGTGCGAGATAAATGCCCAACTTGCCTTTGTTTTGGGACTAGAAGTGTGGTTTTGACAAGTTTTGCACAAGTTGGTACGAGCAGCCATGGCTTTGTAGTAGAAAGCCACTTTAAAATGAGTGGGGTTTGTTTAAATGGGTTAATTTAAGCTTCTCCCTGCAACAAACACAGCGCCCCGCTCCAAACAGGGGATCTCCAAAAAGGAAAACTTCCTGAAAGCAGCCAGAGCTCTTTCCCCCAACAAGATGCTGAAACCAACTTGGTATTTTTCAAGTGACACAGAACAGTGTCATTTTACTGTCCAAATTGAGGCCAAAAAGTAAACAAGATTTCAGAGATGAAAGGATTTTAAGAGATATTATTAGTCTGACAGCAAGCTATTAAGGAATCGCCTGGAAGGACGGCTTCCTCGGAAAACACAGGCTGCGCTGCTGCCAGCCCAGCAGAAAACTGCACACTGAACCTGCGGGGGTTCTTGGTTTTTCTCTCCATCTCCAAACAGCATTTCCCTCTTAAGTGAGATGTGGCCTATGGGCACCATCCTAACGAGCTCACGCTCTTGACGAAGTTGGGGTTTAGCCCCTGCTCCCTGTTACACGTGAGGAAACCGAGGCACAGGGTGATGCGGACGCCACACCAACGGAGCTGGACCAGCACCCGCCCCAGGACCATCTCCCATCCCATCATTCTGCCACCAGCGCATCCCACCCCGCTGAAACCCCGTACCTGTTGGAGCTACATCCTTCCCCTCTCCGCTTTCTTCGCTTCTGCGTAGGCCCCTCCTGGGCCGGCTGCTCTGGGAAGCACCTTCTGGTATCTAGCACGGTGCCAGACAGATTCTCCAACTTCCACGTTCGTTAGCCGCCCCTCACTACTTTCCAGAACTATAATTAGTTTTGCTAATATAAAAGGCAGAAGGGATTCAGCTAAGCTTCGGAAAAGATAACACAGGTCAGAAGAGAAACAAAGGTTAACATTAAGGATGGCTCTTGCACAACAAATGTCTTCCCTTAATTCCATGCCCGTGGATCCGAAAGGAAAATCCGTGGATCCATAGACATGGAATTAAATCTCCCACCCCCTCTCTTCCCCTCCTTATCGGGGAGGAAATATTACCTCCTGCTTTTTGGGATGAAGGAAGCAGGCAAAGGGGAGAAGCATCAAGGGCAGCAAAGCGATTTGGGGAACAGCCCTTGCAGGGAACCAGCACCCCCACGTCCCCAGCCCTCACGGAGCTGTAATGGGGTTTCTGCACCCGGCAGCGCCTGCTCGTGCCCGTCCCTTGCACTTGTCCCACGCTCCTCCACAACCCCAAATGCTTTTCTGCTCCTTCCCGTGCGGCACCTACACCTCGAGCGATCCAGAGAGCCCCCCAGCCATCGCCTCAGTGACGCACCCCTGCTCCCGCTGGCATCCACCTGCCCCGTAACCGCAGATCAAACCCGCACAGCCCATTTCCAAATCACAGCACCCAGCCCCTTGCCAGCGCAGGAGATTTCTCTCTCTGCCTCCTGATCTCCTAAGAATTTGCTTATCTAGCAAGCCTTTAGCGACACAATTTGCAAACGCCGTCCCCATTGCATTTCCGGAGAGGCAGCCGCTGTGCCAGGGACCTGAGCCCGGTACTGACCTGATGGGAAGGAGCTTCTGGATGGAGCGGAGAGGGAGGAAAAGAGGGGAAAAAGAGGGGGGGAAGGGACAGAAAGGGGTCTCAGGTTTCACGTGTAGGAGAGGGGGAAAATGATAGAAAGGCAGGCTGGTTAAACAAGAACCAGCAACACGTCCTACTCCCAGCATGACATCATGAGGTCAGGGCTCAGCGGGGACGGCTGCAGTGGGAGGGGAGGTTCGGAGGGAAAAAAAAAAGAA